GTGTTGGCGTTTTTTTTTTTTTTTTTTTTTTTTTTTTTTTTATGTACCTATATCGCCAATCGCTACTCGCAAGTGTCGAGCATGAAACGATAAGTGCGAAATTCGTACCGCTCGCATTTTGGTGTTTTCGTACACCGTTTTTACCGCCGCTGTTTGGACGTTCGCCGTCGCGTATTCGTCGCCGTGACCGTTCGTCCGCTAGTGGATATCGCCGCCATCGTCCATTGAACCGCGCTCTCGCCCGACCTGTACCGCCGCCGATGTAAACGGGCCCCCCCGACCAAATGTGTTGGACGTGTTGAGAGCTGTTTGAGATTACCTAGTTGGTGTTACACTCATGTAAGTACTCGTATATTTTTTAAAACTTCTCTGGGCTTGCTTGATCGGTCTCTAACCCGGATGAGCCGTTGAGCCGATTGCAATTTTGGTTGTTAACGATTTTTTTCTCATGTCCTTTTTTTTCCTCTTCCCCGTCAAATCAAAACACGAAAACACGGGAAAACGGCGGTGGTGCCATCTGCCGGCCGCCCGCATTTGTTGTCATTATCTACGTTTTATTATTACGCTCCTGAGTGTAAAAATATTAATTTATGTTATATTTTTATTATATTATAGTATATATTCTTTCAGTGGGAAATCACATACGGATTTTCCTAATTTTCTCCCCTCCCCCCCATTTAATAGTAGTCTAATTTTACTTTCGTCACKTGCAACCAAATCCGTGATCTAACAAGCGCCCTAACGTTTTTTCTTATGTCTCTTGTTTGTGTTCTTAGTGATTGTCAGTCGCCAGATGACGTCCCGTGTTTCAACTGCAATGGAATGCACTAGTATTGGTACAGTCCCAACCTGTTTGGCGCTTGAAAATTGATTTCTGCAATACAATATATACCTGGTAAGTTGTTGACGCTCATCACACACCATTCCTATTAGGTGTTGTATAGATGTAAGTGTGTGCGTGTAATGCAACTAAGACCTCATAGTTCTTAGCATCTTGAGCATCTTACATAGGTTCTATCTCTCAATTTCTATATGTACTATCAATATTTATTTTATTTTATTCTTTCAGTTCGTTCAATTGGCTAAATTATTAATGTCATACCTGCATGTATTGTTTAATTCATGCCGGGTCTCACTAAACACTTGATAAATTAACAGTGAGCTAATTGTCCTTTAAACAACATTTAGTGGTCTATTAAATTTTAGTAATCCATTAATTTCAATCAATTTTTTATGCAACACGACATATATATGTTAAAATTGCGTCTGAGGAAGGTGCAGAACCGTTATAACTTCATCATATAGGTAACAATAATATCTGTTGGTTTTGCGTTAGAGATTATTGTATTATATTTATTTCTTTAGACTTAGTACTATAGAATACTTYTTATATTATAAATTGGTATATTTTTATAATTTTATTTGAAGTGACTCTTAAGAACAATGGCCATTGATATAAAAT